ACCATCGCCTGAAAAAGAACGAACGTTCCAGCGTGCAACATGGAACTTAGCTCTTGTAGCGTTAACCACTGGAGTCACTGATTTCTTGGTTCCTTGTGGACTGGTAAGTTTCGACGGAACTGCTCGCTGCAGAACTCGTTTCCGCAAGTGCAATAAATTCGTCGCCGTTTGCTAAGATCTTAACCTGACAACTACAGAATTAATGAATTCTCTATCTTAGGAATGAGAGAGTGGCGATAACATGGTACAGGGTTAGAGTATAAATACAGGATAAATTCAAGATGTAATGCAGGATCCCGCTAACAAGCCTTACTTTAAAGGGTGTACAGCTTTTCTTATGAGAAAATTTTAAACCCTAGGCGAAAGAGAAGTAACTTCTGAAAAGAAAAATGATGTGATATTACGAATGTTAAATTAACTGAGAGCTATGAGTAACTGCGATGTGAGAATTCGCGAACAGAGTAAGATGAAATAAGAAAAGCAAATAAATTTACATGTAGCCGTGCAATCCGATTCCGACCCGTGACGTACTCTTATATTTCTTTAAAATTGCGATGAGTAATTTAGGGCATATTTTAGGAGCCCTCGAAGAGAAAATACAACGGTTAATCGCTGAAGATGAAACTACCCTATATAATGGAGAAGAATTACAGCACAGACGCTGCAGATGCAGCAAAGTCAATCTGTTAGCTGTTTTCCTGGAAACAGAAAGCGACTGCTTACACTTTGAAACAAACTGATCTGGAAGAAATGGATAAGATATCGATCGTCTTCACGAGCCCACAGTACAAAATAACTTATACTCGCAGATACAGAGACTCCCATTTACTAAGCTCGTGCATAAAACAGATATCGCGTATATTGCTGTGCCAGTCTCAATATCGAACGTTTCAATGGTTATCTCTAAATCACGATAATTTTCTTCACAAGCGACGGAACGCAATACTTGAACCAGTGCACCCAAAATAAGTAGGACGACCGCATTCGCTTCTACACCACTAAGTATCACGCCATGTCGCGAAAGCCGCGTCACAAAATGTTAACATCGCATTTACATAAGGAACATTACCTCATAGGAAAACCTAATATAATAGCTCCGGTCTCTTAAGTTTCGTTATAGAAAAGTATTGCTTTCTTGAATCATGTATACTAGCGAGTTTTATTACGAAATAAAATTGGAAAGTTCGAACTCACACGTTTCTCGCCATGCCCTTAATAAAGAAAACCTGGCATAAAGCTCGGTTTGTCTACAGTTAGATAATTTGTTTCAGTCGAGAGATGTGAGACATAAGGAAATCAGACAAACGTATCATACCATCTCATACTCGGCCCTCTTTGAACTTGGCTTTGACAGATAACCTGTAAACCCTTACTTAGAAAAATTATCGCGAACGGTTGCAAGCTGCGCTTACAGTAGTCTCATGGCAAGAACCGAACCTTTTAGCTCCTACCGTCATCATATTTGATAAACGCTGATTTGTTGATTTTCCAGAAAGTTAGTTAACACTTCCCCAGTTAGCTGGTCATGTTCAGCATTTACGAGAGCATCTAACTCAAAATGAAGCGTTAACTGGAAAGAAACAACAAATCGAACATTAGATCACACTTCGACTAGACCAGCCAGTTTTTACCAGCCCAATGATTTATGAAGGACGCATGGATCGTTAATGTCTAAGGGGCACTGTCTGACTGATAATTCTGGGTTGCCGTTCTTCTTTAACGATAGCCCCAGCAACACACTTTCCTAACTTAAGACAAATTTAATATTTCTTTAAGTGTCCGTCGCACAGTTGGAAAAAGTGAGGTGTCTTCTGAAGGAAGGTTTTAGATATACGCACTGGATTTAAATTAAAGAATTCTACACCTCTACCAAACTTAGGAAAGGATTTCTAATATACTTATTCAATAATTTAAGGTGGATTCAGTGAATTCACGACTGAGAGCGAATTTTGAGCGAGACCTGCGACGACTTGCATTTCTTAATCAGCAACGCCTTCCGCTAAAGCTAATAGTCAAGGCTCGCCATCCCAAATCATTCGGTGTAGCTAGGAAGAAATACCACCAAACAACCAGTTTGCGGCACCTTGTACGGTGCATTGGGCAGGACTTACAGAAAAATCGAAAAATATCGACAAAATGATGAGCGATTACACGACTCTAATAAGGTTCGGCAAAGAGAGTTAACGAACAGTTAGTGAATGCTGGCAACAAAAATGGTTAACAATCGTTACATGAATTGTGGATGACTAGCGATGACTGGTCAAGAACGCCAAAAGAAATGAGATGCCACCCATGTATAACATAAATCATAAATCTTTAAAGTCGAGTAAAGCAGAACTTACGTCGATATCGATTTTTCGGTTTGGTGCTTTTCAGCCAGTAAACCGGAAATGACTTGATTTCTTTGAACAGAAACGGCGGACTTTCGTTAAGTTCTTCCTCAGTCAAAGGTGCAGAAGAAACTTCATAATCTTCACGAAGCACTTTTATGTCCGGTTCGTAGTAGCCGCGCTAAACATTGTGAACTCGGATAGCGCCATTAACAACGTTAGAAAAGTATTGTTCACCTCAAATTTTCTGACAAGGTCAATAAGGTTGGCCGGCGGAGCGATGTGTTCGTCAAGCGGCTTCAGAAAGCACCGTCGACCAGTGAGATCAGTAATTATCGTAACATTCTGAAATCAGGCAATATAGGAATGACCGCAATATAACACCGAACCAAAAAGGATGAGCCAAGACCAACAGTTTGGTTTTAGACCATTGGCAGCCTTTACCAGTTTACTGAAGGATAAAGATAATTACGAGACCTCTGCTGAACATCTGCATCGTTCATCTATATTGGGTCCTCAAGGTCAAGCATCCTACCATTATCATACCGAATTTTCAATATTCGCAGTCGATTCATTCCTTTGGGAATCCATTATGGTCTCCTTCTTGTCAAACACCGGACATACAGCAGGAGGTCTTGTTCATTGCCATTTCAGTTCTCCTGCTCTGGTGATCACATTAAAAGTAAGAGTTTACACGGGCACTCGCCCGCCCTTCTTCATATATCGCTTTATACCTTTTAAAATGTCTTTCCATCTTTTGCGATGAGATATTTAGTTGACGGACGTTTCAGACCGAGATTAATAACATACGCATTTCTACTGATGACTTCAGGGCTTTCAGCGGGTAGGAAAAAGATCTCACGAGTTAAAATCCTGCCAGTCACCCACCTTCTATTTTTCGATGTAAAAAAGAGTGTCATTAGCACTGAAAGCAGAAGGGC